GACGACCACTACTACTACTACTACTACTACTACTACTACTACTACTACCACTACCACTATGACTACTACTACTACTACTACTACTACTACTACTACTACTACTACTACTACTACTACTACTACTACCTCTACGACTACTACGACGATGACGACCACTACTACTACTACTACTACTACTACTACTACTACTACTACCACTACCACTATGACTACTACTACTACTACTACTACTACTACTACTTCTACTTCTACTACTACTACTACTACTACTACCTCTACGACTACTACGACGACGACGACGACCACTACTACTACTACTACTACTACTACTACTACTACTGCTACTACTACTACTACTACTGCTGCTTCTATCAGCTCTCGATTTATCAATACCGCAGGAAAGCTCAACCCCAAACTGAGATGACAACAAATCCTTCCAACCACTGCCCCAGAACCAACCAATAGTCACAGCTGAGTCTGAGTCATTTATAGCTGTTGCCGCTGATCTTTGTCAACTGTGAATACACTCTCAGTAGACCAGCAGGACGGATTAAAACGATGCACCACAAATGCATACCGTGACGCTGGCTTAGCAGTCACACAGTCACAGAGGAGACGAAACACAGCCCAGACAAGACTCTGCTTCCAAAGCCTTACTCCTCGGTCCACCGGAGTCCGCAGAGCAAGAGCCAAAGCTCAGGGCTGACTGGGTAGGACTTAGTATGTAGGGTCGTCTTCCCAGTTGTCGCGAAGTGTATTTGGGCGGGCCCGACGCTGGTCGAGCATCTTCGGTTGGTTGAATGCACTTGTCAGTCCGTGCCGGTTATCCCGGTGCAGGAACCTGGTGCTTCATTTTTCCTACAATGGAATTCGGATTACCGGGCTGGGGTTCAGAGGATGCACCTTGAAGATCCTGGCGGCCGTGTCTTCCTTGAGGGCAAGGTTAAACTCCTGCTTCCCGGCAGCGAAAATGGAAAAGGCAACAAGAAAGATCATGCCTGAGACTGAGGATCGGGACTGCCACCAAGAGGACGGATAGAAAGCGTTCACACAGTGGTAGTTCAGACACTTCGGGACTTGGCGTATCACAAGCATGGCTGGTAGCAAATCTTGTCGCGAGGCAGTTCATCGTGATTTTGTTTGGAGCTCTGTTGCAAGTTGGGTGGATCCTCCCACAATGGTTGCCATCCAACAAGCCAATGGCTGCCCGCAGGCTACGAGTAGAAGGTCACGGCCCTGTAGTGAGCCAAAACCGGCTAACCTGTAGGTGCAAGTGTAGGTTTTATTCACTCTCGCATTGCACAGGACGAAGCTCACAGCGAGGTTGCTTAGGACCGACAACGGATTGCAGTAGAATTCCAACTCTGTGAGGTATGCTGTGTTCTTCATGGGAAGGTCACAAGCCCAAGCGGAATCATGCACCGAGCATATAGCCAACAAAAAGCTCTCAACCCCCATCCCAACCTAAAACAGAAGTACAAGGATTTGGGTGTGGGAAATTCACCCATATCTTTCAAGGTCCATTCAATCCCCTGCAGTATCCAGTCAGTGTACTTTCGATCTGAAGGCTTTCTGGGTGGGTTTACGAAACGGGCGTCGCCCTGAGAGTGGGCGATAGACTGCCACAGATCGGAAAGGTGCAGCCGAGGAAGTTTAGCTCGGAAGCAAGAGCAAAGCAGCACAAACTGCTGAGGGTGACCTTGGGCGTTTGGAACCCACTGCGCATGTCCCGGCCCTCACGGATGCATCGGCACTCCACACTCAGCGGCCTAACATCGCGACTACATGTTGCCTTGAAGTCTAGCTGCTCCTTGACAAACAAAAGACTAAGGTACAATTGAGTAGCCCGGCAGTGGCTAGATGTCAACCCCAAACCCGAAACACCGTCCCACATCCTTCTTGCAGTAGACTGTCATCTGCTTCTTGTCAAGGACGCCGTCCTCGCCGAAATCGTTAGGAAAGCAAGGTTCAGGTGTTCAACCGGATGCAAGGGCTTGCTTTGGGATTCTGAGATCTGTATGCATGGTATCACAAATGGCCAGAATATCCATTGAATGCTTCTCAGGGCACTTCCTCCTACCACAGGCATCACAAAAGCCCAGAGTGTTCATGGAATGCCTTTCCACGCCGTACCTCCTACCAGACGCCGTTTGCAACCGGTGATTGAACAATACAACTCTTGGGGACGTCACGTCATCAAAGGCTCCAGCCTGACCGGCTCTCCCAAGTCAATAGCAAATATCAAGATATGCACAAGGATAAGGACAGCGAAATGCTTAAACGCAAATAAGGCGAATGTCAATCACTGAACTCTTGAACCCACTGCCAGACTATTCGCTGAACTCTTTTGACCCCAAACTCTGCCAATCAGCTGAAACCCTAAACCTGGCATTGACAAGTCCTTGGCATATTTGGTGAACTTGGCCTTCCGGTCCTCCAGAGTTTTCTTTGCCTGCCGGGTCGGGATCGAAGGAGTGCTTTGTCCGTCTTTGCCCGAAGTGGGGCTCTTAAAGTTTCGAGTTGGGGTTCGTAGAGTTCATACCGATGTTCATACCCAACCTGCGCAACCGACCCTCATTGACTCATCCCAAGTTCTCGAAAGCCCTCGGACCTAAGTCATCCGGAGTGTTGCCTGGGCCTTGTCACTGCATCACAAAGTTAGGACAACGTCAGTGGCACACGAAACCCCCTGCTGAAGAGCCCAGCAGTGCGTGGCGCGACCCTCTGGACCCAGCGTATTGTACATATCCGATTTATCTTAGAATGTACAAAAATGTAGGTTTTGTTAGGTTTTTTCGAACTGTCAGGGGTTCTTTTAGGGATTCACGCTGGGTGGTTGCTGTCTGCCGGCCTTGCTCCTCCTCATGGCTTTGCTCTTGACGACCATGATCTTCACCATCACGCCGTCCTGTTCTCCGCGACTGTGGGCTTGAACTATCAAGTCGAGGTGTTCTCTTGCTTGCTTGGGTTTTCGACGGCTGCCGAACGATGGTGGAGCACCAGGCTTCTGGCCGCTGACTTGAGGGACCCCTCTAGGGCAGGGACTCTGGTTCATGCATAGTTCAGGGCTGTCTGGAGTCCGGAGCTCAGCAGGCAGGCGAACATGGAGGAGGGCTGCTTATTCCTAGAGAGCTTGCTGAAAGCCAACTGCCTTCTTTTTGGCTGTCTCCGTCAGCCTGTCCATGACCTTCGCGAGAACCTGCCGGCACAAGCTTGTCTGGGCTTCGGGGCTGAGCATCTGCTAGACCCCCTTGTGAAGAGGGCCTTCTCTGTTCATTTCTCCGAAAAGAGAACTTTCACAAGACTAACGAAATCTGGTGTTCACCACCGGCTGTTTGTTCTGGTTCCAAACCCTGCGCGGGGCATTCGCTGGCTCCCGGCTTTCGGAAATTGGGGCAAGTCAAGCGCGTCCGTATTTAGCCACCCTCGGCAGCCGTCTATGGAACAGCCAGTCTTCAATGAGCACGAAATCTAAATCCGGCAGCCGGTCCAGCATTTGCAGACACTCCCTGGCTGTGTTCACGATGGGCTTGCCTTTGGTGTTGAAGCTCGTGTTGATCAGTGCCGCCAGTCCTGCTAATCTTCCAACGGCCGTCAGCAAGGCATGAATCCATGGCTCATCCTCCTTTGACACAGATTGGTGCCGCGCGGTCCCATCAAAATGGGCTAGAGCTGGGAAGCGCTTTCGAATTTCCGGCTTCACCACGGGGGCCAGCGTCATGTATGGCGACGGAACAGTGCGACCAAAGACTTCTGTCAAAGCTTCCTCAGCGATCATAGGTGCAACAGGGCGATACCACTCTCTGACTTTCAGCCGGTTCATCCGTTTTGGCATCTGATCGTCTGTGGCTACAGCGAGCAGAGATCGATGGCCAAGGGCCCTGGGGCCAAACTCCTGCCTCCCGCGTACGATTGCAACTATGGGATGCCTCTGCACCGTGCCGTTTTCAGATCCTACCCTTGCTGAGTCTACTGTCCCGGATAGAAGTGCAGCCAAGTACTCAATGCCGCCTAGTTCCGACAGCTTCACTGCACCACGTTTCCGCGCAAGCTCCTCCAAATTGAATTTGTCCCACAGCTCAAAGCCCAAATATTGTAAGGGCTGACGAACCCATGGCGGAGTAACACTGTAGAGTCCTCCGACTGATAACCCACAATCATTGGGCGCCGGCGGCACAAAAAAACCCATACCTAGCTCATTGAGGCGATCGTGCAGTAGTTGATTCGTGCGGATACTCAAAGCACAGCCACCGCTCAAAGCCAAACCTTCGACCTTGTCCAGGCCAACGTGTCGCAAGAGGGACCAAACGATGCCAGAAGCAATCGATTCGAAGGCTTTTTCGATGGAGGCACCGAGGATGCGTTGTGATTCTGAAGAAGTGCATGCGGCTTCTAACACGGAAACAGGCAAAGTTGCATTCGCAAAGCTGAGGTCCTTCCAACTAGTGGCGCGGGCCTGAAATGGAAAATAGCCGAAAGCGTCTGAAGCATGACCATACACACAGCCAGACCCTTCAAAAAGCTCCTCCAGGACACTGGTTAGTTTGTCGTCCGCAGGAGCGACAGCAGCGTACCCCATTAGCTTCCCTGCCGTGCCGATTTCGGGCTTTCTTACCTGGTCCAGAATCACGGGCTGGCCAAGACGCCACAGGTCACACATCTGCGTCGTGTCGAGACCTGAAACTTCTGGCAGCAGGCCGCCGAGAAAGTTGTACATTTCACCTAGGTTATAGTCGAGCTGCGCAATTCGCTCCACTTTCCCATCACCCCCAGCCCTTCCAACATAGGCATTGAATGAGCCATCGTTTCCACCTCCATCGTAGGTCACGATCAGAGCCGTGCGGAAAGGTGAGCTGTGGTAAGCCATTAAGGCATGCGCTTCGTGATGATCCACCCAGTGCCACTTCTCCACTGGGAAGTATTCTTCCACAATCAGTGGAATGACCGTAAACAACTGCCAGTGACTTACATGATCGGCCACCATCACGCCATGCTTGAAATGCTGCGGAAACCCTCCCGGACAATGGTCCCTCACAGTCGCAATGGCACGGAAAATCTGTTCCCAGAATTCCGACCCCTGACCCTTCAGGCGAGCGTAGCGAACTCCTAGCAGCCGCTCCATTTCCAGAACACATAGGACTCGACCATCTTGGCTTACGGCAATGCTGGCGTCATGACCCGTATACACGGCCAAACCTGCCCCTCGATCCTCGAAGACCTTTTCCTTGAGCTTCACACTCTTCATGGATGGAAGCCATGCGGCACTGCGCTCTTCGCCACGACGGATCTTCTGCATAACCTCCAGTGCCCGCTCTTCTCGCATCCTGTATGCAAGCACGGCCCTTCGCAGATCGTCAGCTTCATCAGCAAAGACCTCGGTGCCCTTCACCTGCGCAGCATAGTGCGCCCCTGTGATCTGCCAGTCCCAACGTTTTCCAGCATCCAAAGCCTCCTGGGAGGCATCAAGAGAAAGCAAAACTTGGAAGAAGCTGCAGGTAACATAGCCGACTCCGGCGTACACCTTAGGAGCCATGTCTCCGGACTGAATCTTCGGCTTGCTATTCAGACAACAGCTACCTGCATGAGCCGATGGTGAGATGTAGGCGTTGACGGATTAATGGGTTCAGGTTGAAGGATGCTCAAACAAAAGTCGATGACTTTCCAAACTCCAACCCCTGACCCCTTCATAGCCTCGGGCACGAGCGCAGAAAGCCTGAAGACTCAACCAAATACCGGCACTTGAGTTTCCAGGGGTTTGGATAGTGCCAACAATGCCGAAAATCCAGAAAGGCGCTGCAAACCCACACCACGAATATTGCTTCCGAATCTAGCAAAGATGCATGCCAGAATGAATCCGAGCACTTAACCGCATACCTGAAACCCCGAACGGAAGCCAGCAACTCTGCAACCCAAAACAGCTGAATCCTAAACTTTGCGTCGATTTTTCGGGCTTGGGGTTCAGATTTCGGAGGCAGCCTGCTTCACCTCAGCCGGCGGCTGGCCAGGCCTGTTTGACAGGTCGAGCTTTCTGCGGCTGGTGCCGGAGCTTTGGCGTTGCCAAGGGATGCCAAGGGGACTTCGTATTTGCCAGCTCTGCTTCGGCCGGAGGCAGCCGGGACTACGAGTCAAGGGATACAACAAAGAAGCTGGTTCAAGTTTTGGGTCACGGGGTGAGGTCCCTTTTTGTGCGGTCCATGACAGGAAAAGATTGTCCAAATCAAGCCAGAATCTGAGGGCAATGCATATCCTGGATTGTCATCGCCGGACGGTTCTCCTTCAGGTACTCTTGGCCTCTGTCACAAGCCGTCCGGGGTCCGGGGTTGGCATGCTTTCACAGCACTACCGCACACCCAAGAACGCGGTGTCAGACCTACGCCTCCTGCCTCGCAAACAAAGAACTCGACGCGTCTTGAGTTCGTTAAACTCCTAGAAACAAACCTGCTTTGGACCTTAAACCCGGAGCTCAACTCCCCATTCGGCTCCCATGCTCCTCAGCCCTAGCTTCTCAAGACAACAGCGGCGGTTTCTTAGCACCGGGCACTCAGCAGTTCGGGCTGCTGCTTCGTCCCTGGCCTGCAGCTACATGAGGGTGTCGGAATCGGCTTCAAACTCATTCCTGCAGCTTCGGATCAGCAGTTTTGCATCGCCTGCAAGCTTCCCACCCAGAAGCCGCGTTAGTCCAAGCGCACCAACCCAAAGGCGCCTCAAACCGGGACTGCAATGCACTAAGTAAGCCCAGCCCTTAAATTCTGCAGTAACGAACCCAACATGCCCAAGAGCATACCAGGGCCTCGTCGATTTTGCTGGCCTCCTCCAGAATCTTGTCCTCTGACCCCAAGTTCATCACACTCTCATCAGAGGTGAACCTGAAAAAGGCAGAGAAGCGGCCTTGCAGATGCCTCGTCTGCCTTTAGGGTCCCTGTCCATTTATCCATCTACCGACCTATCCACCAATCGGTAGATAGACCGGAACAGATCAGAATGAACAGAACAAAACACCCCACACCACGCCACACCAAAGTGCTAACGTTTAGTGCTACAGTTTGCTATGACACCATGCAACCGACCTCCAGCACGAGTCTTTCGAAGCCGCTGAAAACAAACAAGTTCCAGACTTCAGACGACCTGCGAACGCCCTGACACTGCCAGGGGTGGGGACAAACTTGGAACCTACCTCTCGCACAAATGATAACAATGGAACTCCCTCTTGTTATGAAATCGCCAAGGCCGATGCTCACAGAAGCCGGAGGACACCAAATCTCAACTCAAGCCATTCCTGGACACCCTAGAGGAGGAATCTCGTCGAAACAATCAGACCAAGCAAGGACTTACTGCAGCTCTACAAGGATAGCCGGATAGCTGTTTGAACCCTGAGCTCTCGGGACCCTAAACTGGGCCCCTTGCGGCTCCGCCTTCTCGACCAAGGCATTCGCCTCGAGTGCCGAATATAAACTACCCGAAGAGTTCGTCACACGAAGCTGCTAGAATGGACTGTTGTACCCTAAAATATACCATAATATGCCAGAGCAAACTAAAAGCATACTATCATGCCTGGGACCCTGTTATTCTCATGAAAGTTTCCATCGTCGTGCCCGTTTGGTTTGGGTACTTTGGGTCTGCTTCCAGTTGAAATGATTACACTGGTTACACCATTACGTAATATAGGGGCAGTAATAATTAGAACAGGGTTTTGGGTATTTTCTACTTTAGTTACAATAAGGAGCCCCCAACAACCCTATTCTAATTATTAAAGCCCCTACATTACTCCCGCTGATTTGGGGCTGATGCTCTGAGCTTAAGACTTCAATTTGCCGCGCAAGCCAAAACAGTTCTTTGAAGGCCCTCAATCACCGTGTGCCCGACAGCTTCCTCAGCGGCTTCCACCTGGAGGAACACAGGTTTCAAGCTTTAGGTTGCGTGGCTTGAGAGATCTCTGATGCTTTGCGAGAGTTCGGGGCTTTGCGCCTTCTGCCTTCTGGGGCTTCAGACCTGTATTTAACCAGATGCAAAGCATTGCCAGCCGGGGTGTTGTTTGCTTGGCCTGACTCTCGCAACTCGGACTCTCCAGGCGAGGCTGCTAGATGGGCATTGGAACTGCATTGAAGCCAGCGGGCGAAATCAACACTCCCAAACTCCGAACGCAAGAACTACAGTACCGGGAGCTCTTGCGGTCCAGATCCCACACCTGGTGGCGTACTCTCTTTGCATGCACCCCGTAGGCTCATCGAGTTCAGGCTTTTTCGGGCCCTAGAGCTAGTTCCGTCTTGCACCGACGCTACAACAGCTAGACTGGGTGCAGAGCCCAATAGAGATATGGTGCAGAGGATTGCCGATCTGAAGCCACAATCTTCTACAACCGCCCGGGTACTGTATGTGCCAACACACTAAGTCACTAGGCAACCCGCCTTCGCCGTGAAATCCGCGACCTGGAAGAAGATTGACTACACGGGTGCTCTGAATAATTTGAATCAAATTGTGGGAATCTCTGCGTAAGCAACTCGAAACAAAAAACTTACGTACTAATTAGTTACTTGTTCCCTCAACGGTTGACCATGGTGCCCACACCTGCAAAATCCGGCAAACATGCCCATTCTTCGGGCACCCTGGCCGATCTACAATGAATGTAAGTCTGATGTACGATGTACGGCAACTACTCCGCGGATACGCAAATACGAATCCCAGACAAGCCACGAAATGCAGATCCGAAGCTCAAGACAGGTCCTCTGTGCCCCGGGGCCCCGAGCGAGCTGCTCCGCCTTTGCACACGCAACTTTGTGAGCTTCCAGCATCTCGGCCTGGCAGCCGAGGAGATCAAGAGAGCACATTACGTTCCGCTGCCGGGCCTTCTTCTTCTCCTGGAAGGCCTTCACTTCTGCAGCTTCCTTTGCCAGCTGGACAACAGGTGCTCATGTTAGGTGTGTGCTGGGAGTCCAGAATAAAGCCTTGATAGGGTTGTAAGTTTACGTCTGGGCGAGTTGGGGGTCGGGATTTCGGCGCTTGGACTGGGAAGTGCTTAGGATTCGGATGTCTTGGGATGCACGCTTTAGGTGCTGTCTGTCGCTTCACACCCTCAGGCATCGAGTGAGATGCAAACATGGGACGTCCAGAACACGGGACCCGAAGTACAACCCCGCAAGGTCGGCCTGCAGTCGACGTCGAGCCTGGTCCACGATTTGGTCGCACTCCTGTACCGCACGGGATTCAAGAATTCTTTCTGCCGCTGTGCTATGAAGCTTCAGGTTTACCAGAGGGGCTTATGCCGGTTTACGGTCTACGGCTCTGCAAACGGCATTCCCAAAGTTGTCGCCACAGCTGGGCAAGTGCATGTTGCACCGCGTGCAAGCCGGTGCCGGGTGACCTGTAAAGACCCATTGGAGTTTTTACATCTGGACTTGGATCGGAGCCAAACCAAAAACAGTCAGTCGTGCCGAAGCCTCCTGTGACAAGTTCTGGGTGTGACGGTGTGACAGGTGCAGCAGGTCATGACCCTGAAAGTGCGAGACTCAAGGCTTCAGGCAACAGTTATGCGGGCGATTCAAACAGACAGCCGGCTTGGAAAAACTCTGCATGCGACCCGCCACCTGCCTCGCGGATCTTGGCCATCTGCATGCCACAGTTGTTCAACTCCCTCCTGTTTCAGAAAGTCCGTCGGTGTCAGCTGGAAAAAAAGACGACAGCACTATCAGACAAAGGTTACCCTCAGTCTGCAGGCGAGGCACTGCATCACGTCGTACAGCTCCTGGCACAGAGGTCTCTTTCTCGGATGCTTGCGTTGTAAGACATGCCTGGAACAGCATGCTTTGCCAAAGTGGTCGCTAGAAAGCTGCAAGAGGCGCAGAATCGCAGTAAACTAGGTTGGTGCAGTACGGTTGAGCCCGAAACTTTTCTTGAGACCAAACCCAAAACTCCAAGGTCCAAGTCCACAACCCAAACCTGAGTCTCAAAATGGCCCAAATGGTGCGACGATGGAGGAACGTGGGAAAGGCCAGAAGACCACGACGGGGCCTGCTGAAGCTGTGGGAAGGACTCCTCCTGGCCAAATCACAATGCTCTAGCTTCTGGGGCTAGGGGTTTCGGCTTAGCGAGTGGGATCAGTTCTTGCTTGAGGTTGGAGTCGTTGGCACACTGGGCATGGCACGAGCAAATGTCAGATTCAGCCTTTACCGGACCACCCAACTCGCATCGAGGGCGTCAGCACCCGCTTTAAGAGATTACGCCCCAAAGGCTCTCCGATCTGACAACGCTCCTGCACCATTCGCATCCTCTGGCAAACGGCCCGGATTGAGCTACACGCCTCCTGGGGAAGGGCGAGCAGGTGTCGGCTCTTGAGTTTCGAACTTGGTGCCTTCAGGCATTGCATCCAATTGTATCCATCGCTAGGGGTCGTGTCAACATTGGCTATAGGCACGGTGTGCAACCCGAGAGGCAGCACAAGCTTGCAGGTTTCAAGCTGGGTGTGGGCCTTTGATATCAAGCTTCCCGTTTAAGCGGCAATCATGCACTATGCACGGTCTGACCAGGATCCTAAGCGCGATCTTGAGACTTGTCGCGTCGAGGTCCGGCCTGCTCCTTCCGTTTCTGCTCGGCGACACGGCGCTGCTCCTCCTCGTTCAAGCGGCTAGGTTCTCACATAAAGTTCGAAGGCTAAGCGAAACACACTATGCCTAGGATTGCCATTCCTGTCCCAATAGATTCGGCACCGCATTGCTTGCAGAAAGATGCCATGGACCTCCACGCTTTTCTGGCTTCCGCATCGCAAGCGACAGGATAAGCAGCCTCTGGTGTTTGTTCTGTTGCTGCGATGATGGCAGGAGGCGTATTTGGCCGTATGATCCCCTCCTTCTTGGAGCAATGAACTCTCCGTCTAAGAACCCTTCTGCAAAGGTCCTCCATTTGCATCTTTTGTGCTGCGGCTTTGCGCATGGCCTCCGCCTGGATCCGCGCAACAGCACCACAAGCTGGGGGGACATATCCTATTATCATCAGCCAGACATTGCTCCGGCACCAACATCAAACCATCAACCCCAGCCACAACACCTCGCCTAGCCTAGCTTCCACTTTCGACGCTCTTCTGTAAGATCTACGATCCTTCTTGTTCCTGGCATCGATCGCTGCGGTGCTATTCAGGCGGTGGGAGCCAAGGTGTGTATTCGAGCAGGCCTGTCTGACCTCTCGTGGCTACTTGTACTTCTTCTTGCCAACCGTCGTTTTTCGACCCCGTTTAGCCGTTTAGGCACGGACTGGTGCCAGCCCAGCTTGACAAAATACTGCGGTGGCACCTGCTGCTGCTGTCGCATCTCCTCCTCCCGCCGCTGCATTGCGCGCCTTGGATGTTTTCGAGCCTCTTAAACCCACCTACGACATGACCCTGTCCGTGCCAAGCCTCGTCGAATTCTGACTCCAGGGCCAGGCCCTGACTGCTCCCACACTCGTCCTTCGTTTTGTAACTGATAGAAGTGCACAAATTCCGATTCCCGAAATTTCTCAAAACCTTCTGGACAATCACGATGGTCAAGCCCTGCAACCCTGAAAGCTCAAACCGCAACCCCCAACTAACTACTCCTGAACCACTAAGCCGCAAAGGCGCCGCTGCTCGTGCTGCCGTCGGTTCTGCGCTTGCAGTTCGTGGCGCTGCTGGTCGTTCTGGGGCATGTTGCCATAGCCGCCCTGGCAGGGAGACAACTACAGACCCTCATCGGCCCGACCCCTGCGAGCCTGTACATTCTCCTGAGGACATGAAAGCCTGTACAGCCCCCAATCCTGAAATCTTCAATTAGGACAAATCATAAACAACTGGCCGCGTTGGGCACCTTGCCACCGGCACCGGGTCCGGGCTGTTGACCGGCATAGGCCTTGGCTCGGCGATCTCATCTCGAGGCCGGGAGGGCATGCTGCAAATCAAGGAAACACAGAACTCGTGCGCCAGGACTCAACTTGGGGCTTCGCACCACACAGGGCAGTCACACAGAATGTGTGGACGTGGGCACTCTCAGGCGCCAGCTCCGGGTGCTTGATACCCTCCGCCCTGCCAGGGTATCAGAGCTTAGGTGCTCGGGCGTCGACACTGATGCATTAATTGGGCTTCTCCCCTCCTCTGTAGCAAGGACGAGCCCGCATCGCATTAATTGGGCTTCAGGGCTGAGGCTTCACGTCGTGAGAGACATCAAGGGTTGCATGCTACCTCGAGCACACCTTTTGCAATTTAGGTCGGGGTCTAGCTCCATGTGCTAGTTGGTTAGCACTGCCCAGGCCTGGGTACAAGCAGCACCGAGACCGAAAACCCTCATCAGGTGCCGAATGAATGAGACTACAACTCGAAGCTGATGAATTAGATCCAGCAACAGGCGCCAACTCACGAGGACGATACCCATCAAAATGGCACTAGACCACTCATTCTAGCCCAGCTGTCTTGGGAAGAGTTGTGCAACTCCATCATGGCCGTATCTGTCACAGGTAGTGTCACAGACCTTGGCCGAATCACGTGCCATCCTAAAGCCCTGCATGCTTGAAATCCCCAAGCCCGCCACCTTGCCGGGAGCCTGCTGAAAGCCCTGGCCAGCACAGCTCTAGGATCGGGCTGAGTAGGTGAAGTGCTGGTGTGAGAAGACAATAACGAGTGGCGTGCTTTCAGCCCTTCGAGCCACAAGGCTTTTAGCTTGGGGTTTCGGGAAGATGTCAGACTCTTGAAGCTTGAACTTCTCTGCGGACCTGCCGAAGCAGCCACCCCAAGAGGACTTGATAACCGCACCCTTATATAATCGTTTTGAACCCATACTCTGCTGATCAAGAACACTGCAACCCCTAAAAACCGGGAGACGTTTTGCTGCCGGACAATTGGTCGCCGGATTCACTGCAAGGTGAAACCCTAAACCTTGCCGACGGAAGACGGAAGCCTGGGGGTAATTCTGCTGGGCCGCATTCGCATTGGCTAGCGAAGTCGGACCTGGGGACAGTGCCTATCCGTAACCAGAAAACAAGCAAAGTATACAAAGACCGCCCGCGCTCGTATCACAACATCACATAATTTCTGCCGATACGCAGCACTTTTTGCAATAATGCGAACCATGTAACACAAGGGTAGTTGCCACCTTTCCACAAGGAACCCTGGTCCAGAAACTGACCTCAGACCCTGCCTTGCACCCTTCCTGGTCAAAGCCTTCGAGCATTCTTCCCGAATGACTCGAGCTGAATTTCGACCAAAGTCTCAGTGTCAGAATACTACAACACAATGGTATTGGACATGAAGGTAATAACGTCCACGCTGATAGGGTACTGGTAATGAATGGTAGATATCCGGCATTACCGCGATCGCTTCCTTCATCAGTTGCTCAGGAAAACGCAGGACAAAAGCATGCGTTCAAAGGCACATCCACTGACTCCAGCCACTGCAGGCAGCATCGAGGCCGACCATGCATCCTAAACCCGAGCCCTTACAACTTAAACCCGAAACATCCCGAAACCCTGAACCCCAAGCGCTCCACACCCAAGCTGCCCCATAAGGTGGGGCGACCAAATGTGCCTCAATATAAATCGCGGTTCAGCGGCAGATGGAGAAGCTGTCATCCACAGGGCCGTCGTAGGGCACCTTCCATCCCTTGGTGGGAGGCCTCGGCAGAAGCACAAATCTGGAAATAATGCTTGCTGCTGCTTCTTGTCCTGCTTCGAGACGCTGGTTGATCATGACAAGAAGATGAGGATCAGGTTTCTCCAGTGCTCAAGGACATGATATACCTCAGTAGTATGACAGCGTAGACACGCCCTGGTGCCTCAGCCAAACAGCTGAATGACTGAGAAAAGGCCGGCTCAGGCTTCAGGCGACGAGTCGAAGGTTCAGCGGGCTGAATACAAGTAGAGTTTCTAATTAGGAACAACCCTATTGACCAAGGAACTTACAACCCAAATACTGCCTGCAATGTTTCCAAGTCTTATGCATACAATACACGGCTAACTGCGCGCCTCATGCGAGGAAGAAGTCGCAATTGCAGACCAGCAGAGGCGGCGACCCCCCTAAGGCCCGCCTGAACCCAAAATCCGCAACACCAAACACAGAAAAGTGCATCGATGCTGTGGGCCCCGAGCGTCAAAGACTGGCGGCTCGGATGGTAGGCCCACACCTGGCTCAGGAAATGCGAATAAGTCTTGGAAGTCACTTAGTTGATCACCGCTCCCTCACGTGCTTCTTACCGTGACTGGTTAACGTTAAGTATTCTGGCATCCGAGCAACCGGTTGAAGCCGAAAGCTGAGTTAAATCCAGCTGGATTGCCAGGTTGCTCCAAGAGATGGTGCCCAGACTGCTTGAAAGCCATGGCCAAAACTCAAGAAGCAAGTGTCTGTAAAAACCTGATGTGTTCAAACGATCTCATACAAGCTGCATTCAAGCGACCGTGCGCTTCAGCTGCAAAATGTGACAAATCTCACAGCAAGACGGAGGCTTCAAGATCGGGCTGCACTTTATAAAGAAATTCAGTTGCACGCTGGAGAAGTCTTCCAAAATCAATTCATGCCTCTGGGCCTGTACGAATGTTTCACAAGGCAGTCTCGCAGCAAAATCTGTGTGGAGAGTGTGCCGTAGTTGCTTCTCTCTTCGGAGTTGAGCGCTATACAAAAGAGTCGTCGCCAACATCCAGGCTACACCAAGCGGTTTCAACAAAACCTCAGCTTTTTTCAGATGCTGCAACGACACATCCGAATTTCGTTTTGCAGCCTGGAAGCCTACCAAACCACACTTTAAGAGCAAGAAGAAGCAAAGGCGAGTTCGTCGCTTTGTTATCTCGTGCTTGCACTTCCACTATACGGAGTGCCAGACCTCTCGAGGCCCGACTGCTTCAAGATGCAGTGGCACCGGCAATTATCGTTGTCGGATTGCCCTCGGCTTGCTCAGCAAAGCTGCGAAATCATCCATCGTGCTCGAGAAGAGAATGTGCTCATCGTAAGCATCTCGATTTTTTGCTCGTGCGCACATCCATGTTTACAACATGCAGTGACCGGTGTAGGCTTCAAGCGATCGACAAAAAGCATTTCAATTTTGGCAGTTTTCTTCGATTAAGCAGCCTTTAACCCGCTTCGGTTTTGGAATCGTCTGAACCCACAGCTACGTTCAAGAGCTCTTCCTGCTCTGCCTGGTCGCCGCCGACCTTGGGCCCGAACCTGTTCAGGAAAGGCAGGATTCAGGCGCCTTTCACTGGACAGCCAGACGGTTTTGGAAATTATGCAAATGCGCTGCCGAACTAATGCCTAGTGAACAAGCAAGCTATTGTGCGTAGGGGCGAAATTTTTGCCTTTGCACCCAGAAATCTCTCCACGTCCTTGTATACGATGGGTGAAGGGGTATGTTGTCATGCACGGCCCCAAGTTTTCGAGACATGCGACACGCGTGCTTGTTCCTTCTGGAGACGAGTTGTTTCAGCAAGTATGTCACGCGTTTGCATACACCGGTCTATGAATAATTTAGCCAGGCTGTCATGCCTGTTCTGCCGTGTATGCCTGTATGTATACATGTATATATGTATGCATGTGTATATGCTGCAGACAAACATATGTATAGACATGTACATATACATATGCATAGACACCTAAGACATAAACATGTTCATACATATGCAGACACAAAAGAAGTACCTTGCCAGCCCTAGATGTGTAACGCTGCCTTCATTCATTCACTTGCGTGTTGCTTATGTACTTGTTCTATTCATGCTGTTTCCTTCGGATTCTGGGAATTGGTGGGTCTGTCTGTCAAAGATTGTAACTACTTTCTAGGCGACTCTGTCCGTCCGCAGTTTATTCAATTGTTGCCTCCAGTTGCAGAACGTACGCTGGAAGACTCTAAGACTCTAAGCAAACGGATGCATGGGGACGAGTTCCTGCTCGAGAATCTTCAGGCCATACTAGGAACAGGCCAAGGGGCTTTGGGCGCGTCTGGAAAAATGCTCGAGAATGCGCCCACAGTTCAAGTGCAGATCTCGGGGCCTGCCAAGCCCCGAAAATCCTGAAACCCTAGAACCCCGATTCCATCTCTTCAAAAGAACAGAGGTCCCGGCCACCAGCCGCAAAAGTTGGGACCGTCACGCCTGCGCCGTTCGGAGATGGGGGGTCACAAGAAACAGATTAGTTGGGGTCAAGTTTCCGTTTCGGATTTCTGGGCAGTCGGCAGTTGGAAACCGCCTGCATTGCTCTCCAGCTTCAGGTTTCTGTTTGGTCCCTTTGCCTCTTACACTGGTACCGGTCTTACAGTGTGGACGGACTCGTGAGGCAAGACCGCACGCCCAACGCCCAGAACCCCCCTGCACCTTCGCCACGAAACGTTAACCGGGTGATGGTGGCTTGAGTTCAGGATGAAGCTTGAGGCATGAAGGGCTGGGGCTGAAGAAGGTGATGCTGAGTCTGCGACTCGTCCCAATAGTAGAGCATGACATCCAAGCCGTTGACTTGCTGATCCTGCATGGAGAACGAGGAGCTGCAAGGCTCAAGCGCAAGATGGAGGAGAAGCAGTGAAAACAAAGGCCGTTTGTCACTCTGTTTGTGCTCGTGACTCAGCACCCCGGTTGGTGACTGGGCACACCATTGTGATGAAGAGCACGAAGCTCCGAGTTATAATCCATCCTCTTGCAAATGGACACCCACCCTGAACGCAAACCCTGAATCCCAAACACTGAACTCCAGGTCGTCCTTCTTGTACGTTGGCTTCCCATGGTTTTGACCATTCGCTGTGAAGTTGCCTCTCACGATACCTCGGATCAGGGTCGTTGGCCACTGGGCTTCGCCTACGCTCAGAACGGCCAGAGGGTAACTGCACAAAATGCCATGATAAAGGTATGTGTCTTTTTCTGTGTGCATGTATGTGTGTACATGCATAAGTATATGTATATGTATGTGTGTGTAAAATTCTCTTGAATATTATAGATGTTGGTATTGATATTCGATATGAAATTTAGATACAAACACAAATACAACTCATGCTTGCTTATCCATATTTGCATAGTCAGAAGCACCTAAATCACAGCCCCCTCTCTTTTTCTGCCATTCTGCAGCAAGCGGGAACCCTCACCCATCTCAGGCCGACCTCAGATGAACGCGCATCTCTTTCAAGCCGCCGGGCCCATCGGCAGGCTCCTGGCCGAAGCGCGCGAGTAGCTCTTTGACCGTAGAGCGCTGGTGCTCTCGGACCACGTCCAAGAGCGTCTGGCCCATCTTGTTGGTGATCTTGGTCTGGGCGCCTGCCTGCAGAAGCCGCTCAGTTGTGTTCATGTGCCCGAAGAGCACAGCCTTGAAAAGAGCCGTCTGCCCCAAGCGAGTGCTCACCTCCAGATCCACTCGCTGGTCGCCAAGCAGCTCCTCAAGAGTCGAGATGTAGCCGTTCGCAGCCGCACAGATCAGGGCAGTCGATCCGAAGAAATTCTGGTGGTTCGGATCCACACCAGGCCTTCGCAGCAGCTCGCCGACAACGAAGGCCCAGTCACGCTGAGCAGCCAAAATCAGTGGGGTGGAGCCGAATTGGTCCATGTCATCCACGTCCACGGCCGCGTCAGGCAGGGCGGCCTCAACGTCAACCTCTCGGTTACCCTTGATCAACTCAATGAGGCTAGCATGGCGGGGAAGTGCAAGGTGGAGGTGCCTTCTTCCTTGTGTGGGGATGCGAAGAGGAGCCCTGCACACTGCCAGGCACGCACGGAACATGGCGCGCTGGATCAGGATTTACACGTTGAACACAGTTTTTGAATTTGTCCTTTCTTGATAGTTTATACGTCGAATCTCTGTCAGGAAGCCAGAAATCGAAACTGAGAACATGTGTAGTGCGAGCAGCGGTGCCAGCGGTGCATAGAGATGCTGACAGCCACAACGTGAGAGAAGCATGGCAAGCAGACTGCAGAATTGAATTGTATTTAGCAAGCATTACAACTTCAGGGAGCAGCCAGATTGACAGAAGAATGAACTCTCAAAGCCACTACAGCAGCAGCAGCAGCTTCAGCCGCAGCAGCAGGAGAGGCAGCAGTAGCAGTAGCAGTAGCAGTTGCAGTAGCAGTAGCAGTAGCAGTGGCGGTGGCAGTAGCAGTAGCAGTAGCAGTAGCAGTAGCAGCAGCAGTGGCAGTGGCAGTGGCAGTGGCAGTGGCAGTGGCAGTGGCAGTGGCAGTAGCAGTATGTGCCATTGTCGCTCAGCGCCAGCTTACAGGGGTTTTTGACAACGCATGCATATTTCAATGTCTCGGTCAACGTTGATCGGATAGCCGCAGGCACGCAACATACAAGAGCACTTCCGTTGTGCAGATGCACGCTGCGGCTATGGTGCTGACCGCTAGCGGCTCGGCTGTCTACTGTACTGACCCCTTTGAGGGGGAGTGGACCCTCACTCCTCGAGAGCCTTTTTAATTGATCAGGGATAACAGGCTGGGGTGGCGGGTCCCCCGTGCAAACGTTTTCATCCCTGATATATCATGGGCCAGGGCCCCCTAAACTCTCGCTTGGCCCAAAACCGACCCTGTAAACAACAACTCACGCAAGCTCCAAACCAGAGCAGGACCCAACCCAAATGATGCTGCTGACAGTTCTGATGCCACCAATGATGGGGACAGTAACTTAACGGCATCGACTGCTAACCCTATTTACAGCTTTTCCGTCGGCAACCACCACGGCTCTCAAGGTGCAGTCCAAGAGGCCACCAACGGTTCCGTGTGTGCAGCCGCTGACCGTCAAGTGTGCCTCGGCGCAACGACATGCCGAGCAACTGAGGAGTTTAGGGTTTAGACCTTTGCAGCTAGGCGTAACACGCGAGTCAAATCCCTTCAGGACCACACTCGAACCACTCGAACTCAACAGAACAGGTTCAAGACCTTCCTGTCGCCCTACAAAGATCCATACCAAAACAGTACAGGCAACCCCGTGACTGCACCACAACCTTGCAGCAGGCCTCGTTGTGCAGCCCGGTCTAGTACTTACCCCCCCACCACTGGACCAGGAGGTCACAGGACTGAACCATCCCCTCCATCTCTTGGGTCGATACATGTTCGTCACAGGCATGAGACATCCTTCCCAAAGAATTAAAACCGAACCATCCGATTACTTGAAAGCCGTGGAAACGTTGTCACAACATACGATCGGGAGAGCGTGCCCGGGCCGCCTACCCCCGTACAATCGCATGTCATGAGCTAGTGATATCTACCTAGCTGTCGACCACCAGCTTGCGTGACCTTGCTTCCCAGCACCGTCACAAAGACTGCTCACAGACTGGGCTAACTGTGAGTCAGACACAAGGGCAAAAAAGGGCTTAAAGGTTTCAACTTGGGCAACTCCGACACCCCAGCCGAGGCAACTGGATCCATCATCGGAAGGTCAATGAAGGAGAGCTCTCGAACAAGAGAAGGCATAGGACTTAGAATCATGCCGATTGTGAAAGACTACGAGGGTGCTTTTCGTATTCCGAATGTTATGCCCTCTACCATTCCGAGAACGCTTCAATCTGCGCTTTTACTTGCTGTTGCATTGGGGCTGCGACGATTGACGACTGCCTCACAAAATTCACAAACACGCTTACCACCCCGAAGAGTATGCTCCCGGGAAGGTGCTGCCTGTATTGCCTGTCCTCAGCCCACAACCGTGCAGACATCTTCAAGCAGAAGTCCACCACCCCCCACACCCTGAAACGTTTTTAAATCCTGGAACCTTGAACCCTAACCGCAAACCGTTCACCGGGTCCCGAGCGGTCTGGCCCACACACTCTACTGGCCCGGCGGGCGCCTGCGAAGCCTCGTCCAGGGAGCTTCGCAGGCTTCAAAAGCGGGACTCGGGCTGGAGTCGACTCTCACAGCTTGGACAATCCTCGTTTTGAGGTCCAGAATGCGATTTTATGCAGAGATCTGAGCTTATGACGGGCTGTGCGGGCACTGCCTGTTGCGCAGGCTGGGCACCTGAGGCCGCCAACAATTCTCTCCAAGTTCTTGGCGTTGAATGCTCAGTGTCCACAGCTAACTGTACTTCCGTGGCGCTGAGGCACAGCCTACATACTCCAGCATCTGAAGCCCATCATGGGAGTCAAAGAAACGGTCCCATAAGACTCACAAGCAACCTGGCGAAATGTAGAAGGATCTGTCCAACTGCGACAGCGAAAGCCTACAGATCGAAGGCTCGTGCGCAGCACGCATCACTTGACAAAAAAAAACTGTCTGGAAAAGGTCTTATCCTCTCGAAGCGCACTTATTTTCACGACCAGCCAGGTCGGAAACTCAACCGGAGAGAGAAGCTCCGGAACCGTACCGATAAGGCTATCCTCCGACCATGAACCGGGATGACTCTTCCAAACCCTGACTCGCCCAGGCCGCACGCCCAACCCACTGGGCATTCAAAGCATGCTCTGGCAGGGCGGATGCTTTCTTATGTACGCTCTGCCTGCCTTGAGTGTGCAATACGAGCATGCACCCGAAACCCTTTCATCCTTCGGACCAAGAACCGCACTCCGAAACCGTATCAGCGGCTCTTGAGACGTGAAGGCCAAGTGCGGCACTGGCCCCAGCAAAGCCTGGAAATTGGCTAATGCCGGCCGCTGCCTTCTCAGAGGGAGGCCATTTAGGCTCTGTGCGGGTCTTCGAGCGCAGGGATTGTCAAGTGTTTCGGTGTTAAGTTTCGGCTCCAGAGAAGAGCCTCCTTGTTCCAAGGGTGATGCACACGGGGTTTAGAGATGGTTCACCTGTTTCCAGTACGTAACTGCTGCTACGCGCTGCGCAGAAGAAATCGATGTGAAGGGGCACGCATCAACTGTTTCAACCGTCAACTTCCGCAAGGCCAAAGCTCCTGCAGCAGGAGGCTGTTTGCTCAAATTGGCCCAGGCAGCCATGTTAATGTACTGCCCAACGCTGCAGAAACTCTCCGCCATGTTGTCAGGGTTCGGATCTTATGCTTTGGGGATCTTTGGGGTCCAAGCGTGGCTCTACTTGAGCCACGGCTTTGACTTGCTTGAAGAGTTTCCGCAGGCTTTATTTCTATGCCCATCACAGGGTCAAAGCTCAAAAGAGGAGGGTTGATTGGCACAGGACGACTCCGGACTTGTCAAAAGCTCCTGCGTGGCACGGCGACATGAGACTCGTTAGCTGAATCAGTCTTGAGCTACTAATTAGACAACCAACCCCTGCCAATGCGGGCCAAAACAGACAGGGATGCTTGCCCCGGCGCAGGCAGCATGATTGGTTGAACAGCATCCCTCGCGATATGGACAGCACCGGCTCCCGCGATGGGGTTGCCGAGCTGGTGCTGATCTCGACGGACATGTCAACCCTGCACAGCTTAAGCCTCCGAGGCCAAAGTGGAGCACTGAGCTCAGAGGACTGTCGATCACGAGCCCTTGCGGGAAGAGGCGCAGAGATTCCACGTCATCAAACTTCTAGCTCTCATTTTCTTTCGCCAGGGCTACGAGTAGGGCAGGAGGGAATACTCAATCCAGATCGAAACTACTAAATATCACCAGCCAATACCCAACCTCTTGCGGCTGTCTCGTGGTCAAGAGGTGCACACCGACATCCACACAAAGGCTCTAGGCCTGCGTGGCTCTAGGCCAGGATGTCCGGCGCTGGAAACGAGAGGCACGTGTGAAACGGAAACCGTATCGGCTTTTTAAACATTCATGGGCTCCAGCTGAAGCACGTAGTCCCCTCCCGTTGTCCGGGAAGACAGGGACCGCTTCTGGTACTGCATGTACACGAAAGCCGAAGCAGCGACTGCTAGGAGGAGAACAGGAGCGAACAAAAGATGGTTGCTCTCTCTCGCTTCCTCAGCTTCCACGAAGGCAGCAGGAGCTGCGGTGGCGGTGGCCTCATCCTTCGATTTGTCTTTCGAGTCTGCGGCCTCGTCCTTGGAGTGGGAGCTCGATTGGTCCTTCGCCTCGTGCTTGTTGTCCTTGGAGTGCGAACCTTGGGCGATGTGCCTGTGGTCGGCCTTAGAAGCCTTAGCATCTTTGCCCTGGCCCTGCATGTACTGCTTGTACTGCATGTACTTGTCATAGCTGCCCTGGCTGCCTCCCTGTCCCTTCATGTACTGCTGATAGTCTGACATGTACTTCTGGTAGTCCCCGGCGGTTCCACTGCCCTGGCCTCAGAGGCACAGTTAGGAATCTGAGGAATGCCGGATCTCTACGCAAACAGCTGATCGCTTGGAACAGTCGGGTGACAACACGGCAAGCGCAAAGAATCGGAACCAGAAACCGTAGACTTTGAAAAAAGTATTGGCAACACGGATAGGGCAGGATTGGTTTCAACGAGCCATCCCAGAAACTGTGGCAGACAAAGCTCAAGACCCTACCAGACCCCTGCACCCAGCAGCCAACTCTACCCTCCTTGCACGTCTTCCCGACTGCCTTGCATGTACTTCTGGAAGTCCGAGGCATACTGGGACATGAACTTCTGGTAGTCGCCCTGGCTGCCTGTTCAAGAAGAGTTGCAACCTGGTTTCTGCACTAGCCTTGTGAGTTCTACGCTGTCGGATGAGAATCTGCGACTGA